TGTAAACAAATAGTAATTTGTGAATAAATTTTTTATATACATGTTCTTAGAGATCTAAAAGCAATGGGTGAAAAAATAAACTTCGATGAAAAAACCTCAAAATCAGCTCTAAATTTAAGGCTAAAAATTCAAATTTTGGCTGATAAGCATAAGCATAAGCGAAAACATGAGGCCCGAAAGTATCCATACATTTAAGCGAAGGGGACGAACCCTAGTTAGAAGATAGGGTCCACCATCCATGCTTTTGAAGGGGAAACGGATTCGAATACGATGCGTGGCCCGGAGCATCCAGTGTCGACGTTAGAGAGGCCTTGATCGGCCGCTGTCGGTGGGAGGAGATTAGTTCCGGTACTTCCATCTGCATTGATCTCCCAAGACAATGGTGGACGTCCACTCGTTCTACCTCTACGACGACGACGACCGATACAAGTCGCATCTTGTATATGGTCCGATACGCATGTACGGATTACTATATTTTTTCTCCTTGTGTTGGGGATCGGGTTGCCGGGCGATCTATGTATCGGGATTTTGTTCACACAACGGTTTTTTTGTGTGACTAGTTAAGTGCCCGTGCTCTGTAACAGGTTCTATGTATATATAACCTTTATGTATTGTATAAACAGGCAAAATGAATTAATGGATTGTATGATATACAAACTAAGGACGAGAAGCTGTTAATATTGAATAAGAACATTGCTAATATATACTCCCTCTGTACTCGTAAAGGAAGTCGTTTTGGATAATTTTTAAGTCAAATCTTAGGAATATAAATTATGAATAACTCTTAAGGTTATTGAGTTTGAAAATATAAAAAAAATTATATGAATAGATTTTTCTTGAAAAATACTTTCATAAAAGTATACATATATCACTTTTCAATAAATGTTTTTCTAGAAACAAGAAGTCAAAGTTGTGTTTTCGAGACCGTGTCGCTGTTCAAAATGACTTCCATTACAAGTACGTAGAGAGTACATCTCATATATAAAATAGACTAACGATGCACTCCCTCTGTCCCAATAAAACTTAAACCCTAGCACTCTAGTAAGGATTTAAGGAAAACGACAAAAAAACAAAATACTCTTAGCTAATAAAGAAATTGTATTGGTGAATGGATGGATGGGGATTAGTGAAGGAATAACATTTCTCGATTTGTGAACTGATAGTAGGTAAGAAGATAGAAGTTGGTTTATTATTTAGGACAAAATTCAAACTTTAGAACTGATTTATTTTGGATGGAGGGAGTAGGAGTCCCGACACAATTACTGCTTTTAATACAATACATAAAAAAATAATCATAAAGAAATAGATAGATTTGAAGTTAATGTTAGAAAGTTTGATATTCTATCTCATAAATCACAATTTGTTGTAAATGCACACCCTCCTACGTAGTTTTGTTGTAAAAATCATCCCATTACGCATGTGCTTAATGAAATCAACTCACTATCGCTGATGTAGAGCCATCACATGCTAAGCTAGCGAGTCAATCTTGTCCAAGTACTTGCATTAGACTTATTTCTTCATGTTTCATTGAATTCTTTTATGCATATAGCGAAACTAAGTACGACAACGTTTAAACTCTCATCAACAATTCTCTTTATTGAATCTTCAAGGAAAGTGTTAAGGCTATAATTCTAGAAGTATTTAATTTTGATAGAGACTATATTGATGGCTCATAATTTATAAAAACACATTGATTATAGCCTATTACTTATGAGATGTAATCTTAAACGTGTTTTATAAAGTGAGTAGGGGTGGACATTTGCAACCAAATTACTTATGAGGTGGAATCGTAAACTTTAAGTGATTTATGGGGTGGTTTATTCAAATTTCATAATTTTCAATTGTAGAATAAAGATTAGCGCTTGGCAGCCGAGCACGTGGCAGTGAGCCTAAATCTAACTGCAAGAGCGGAGTCTAGAGTAGAGCTGTCGAGTGGTCCGAACCCTGCTCCATACTTCTAGTTTAGTTTTTTATATCACTCCAGACCGCTTCGTTGCTATTTTGGGTAGAGTTGAAATCATTTGTTTGAATTTCAACTTCAAAAGAGGTAAAGCTGAAGCTGTAGCCCTGTCAAATAGGCCCTAGATATCACAAGAAATTTGAGGTGATACCAAAGTGAAGAATGGAAAGGACACACCTAAAGCGATTGAAATAAAAAAAACGAATCCACGGAAGAAAGATGTTACTACACCCACACCGCGATCAGCAGAGTTGCCATCCATTAGAGTTGTACACTTACACACTGAGTGCTGAATTTTAAGCAGACACAAAATTAAACTACACATGGACAGAATAGTGGAATGCACCAAGAAGAAGAATTAAATTCTGCAGCTAGAGTGGTATATATGTAGCTAAGCTAGGAGTGAGACTCCACCAGAACGTACAGTGGCTTCCCATTGAGCCTCTCACGACCCTGCCAAAAGAAAAAAGAAAGAGAAAATTTCAGCCCCAAATTAATCAGTCATCGGCGACAGCTTCAATTTCTCTCGTTTTCTTGACGGGAACTGATGCAGAGTCCTATATATGTATATAACTGGAGAGAGACTCAGCAGCAGCAAGCCAGCAACCAGCGATGAAGTGACAGTTTGTTGAACGACAAATACGCGAATATTAGAAAATAACATAATATCAAATAATTAGAAGGGGTGAGGCTTCTAACCCGGGCAGGGTTGGAAATTTCGGTCATTTCGGTGACCCCCGATACGATATTAATTTGGCCAAAATTTTTGATTTTTTCAATTTTTTCATGAATTTGGATAATATTTGTTCAAATTCAACTAAATTTTGTTCAAAATTTCGGACTGAAATTTCCGAAATTTTGAGATTTCGGTGACCTCTGATATAAACCCCTGAACCGATAGAGTGAACCCTGAACCCGGGTCGTCTAGCCCACCACCTTGTGGAGCTAGCCGGAAGACCCTGGACATTTCTCGCGATGACGTGACAGTGACATTGTGGACAATTAAAGCTGAAAATGCGACATTCAGCGATCCATTTGGAGACTGGTGATACTCATATTTTCCTTTTAATTTGAGACAACTATTAGTTTAATGGAATAGTTAATTCATTACTCGATGCAGTCTACGGCGATTCATCACTAGTCAAGATAAACTCCGGTTATTGCAATAATACAACATATTGTATTTATTCTACTATCATCGATGTATTTACAATATTCACCCCAATCAATATATCCCAATGTTTTAATCAAAATAATACTAGCTACAACACTTTATATAATTCATGCATCTTTTCTTTTGCTAGTACTATCTTGCGTATCTATCCATCTTTTTGTTTCATGAAAAGTACATAAATGTGTCAATGTTCAATCACTCTCGGTTAACGCCGGCAATATTGAATTTGGATGAAGAACGGGATATATACTGAATTGAAAGTAGGAGCGCCACCTGCCAATTCTTCTCTACCAAAGTACGCAAGTTATTTAATTTGGGTTAACTAGTTCATTTATTTTATCTCAAAATATATATACTCCGTATCTAAATTCATAGCTAAGAGTTACTATATTTTAGAATAAAAATAGTATAACATGACCTCAAAACAAAGTGTAGAATATAAGTGAAATAAAGATGAAGGACATGTTCAGATAACATCCACACTTTACAACACACTACCACAAAACTCCTTATGGGTTGTACTAAGTCATAATTTGATGGATATAGGTCTTGTCACACATGAGTCATTTCTAACCCATCAGGGATGACTGGATCTGAACTAGCTGGTGACACTTTCTTGTCAAACTTTACCATAATTCATACTCGTGGCAAGGTTGGATGAAGAAATTAATCGCACCATAGCAGATGGAGTAGAAATGTGTTAAGCCATAGTTTTAGTTACTATAGCTTGCCTAAATTTTGATATGATATAAAGTGTGCCATTCAACCAAACAGGTATAAGGCACTTATTGTACATGCATGAACTTATTACCTTGGTGTACTTACGATGCACACCAACTAAAAAATTATGAAAAACAAACGAAAAAAAATCTGCATGTAATTGTAATCTTACCCTATCTACATATACAATTGTAAATTTAAATTTATTATATTTTATGATAAAACCAATGAATTTTGTAGTTTTAAAAGCATCATTTTGCTTAATTAATCAGAATTGTTCTATTTCGACTACTCTATCTGTAATCAGTCTTAACCGGCATATGCATCAACACCAACTATTAAAAATCCGCCAATCCACATGTGGTGTGTGAAGGACAAAAATTTACGTGGATGGTAATTAGAAGTATAAGGGTGTGTTCTTTACCCCATCTCTTCACAACTTCTATTTTCTCCTCTTTTTTTTTTTATGTACGCGTTCCAAATTGCTAAACGGGACTTTTTTTTCAAAAATATATAAAAAATTAATTTAAAAATTATACTAATAATATATTTTTTCAACTTTATTTTTGCTAATGTTTAATTCACTTTGTTTTATGTGCGGTGTGGGGAGGTGGAGTTCCCAACCTCCACCTCCAAATGCAGCCTTATTAGTAGACTTTTTTTTAAAAAAAAAATTGGTGACAATTATGGTTACTATGTGAAAAATTGGTGACGGTATATGTTTAGGAGTGCGTGATGCATGTAGGGGTTGTTTGGTTCTTAACTAACATCGTCATAACTCACTTTAGGTAATGTTAGACAAGTGTGGCTTGCCACACTTTCTGTGGCCTACAAATTGTAAGCCACATTTGTGGCAAAGTTAGGCAAATGATTAAGTCTATAACATATGGAGTAAGATGGTAAGAAAATGTGGCTTACCATAACTATGGCAATGAATCAAACACAAAGCTAACGAGGTGTGGCAGTTTAAAGTATGGTCTGGCAAGTTGAAGCATTGAATCAAACAGCCCCGTAGTATCCCGATAATGTGGGGCTAGCTGTCGCTGTCCGGCCGGACACTGCCAATATCCCTGTCGCCGTGTGCAAATTATTCGTGGAGAAGGATGGCCGGAATCACTCGACATCAACACTGTCGGGGGGACGCATGAAGCAAGCAAATTAGCTGGTAGAAAACATGAATTATCCTTGTACCAATATATTATATATTTCTTCTTGTTTGTATTTCTCATGTTCTCATCGAACTTGGAAATGAGCTCACTACCTGCCAGCCGTTAAGCTAGCTTCAAATAGCTTGTGACAGGGTCCCCTCCTATATATGGTATCCCATCTATATCCTACCATGAATGAGGTCATAGCTTGAGCCAAACTGTGGTTTAATTTATCAAGTGGAATTTGGTCTAGAGTGAAACAATGCTTAAAAATTAAGGGAGCAATGTGAGACACGCATAGCGCAGATGCAAGATCGGTCCAATGCGGCATGAGGGGATGAGGAGACAGAGGCACGACCACCACAGCGCAGATGCGACATGTTTTTTGGCCACGTGTGGACTCACCAAGATCGAAGAACTCGTCTCCCTGTGCGGAGGCGAGAGGCTCAGCAGAGGCACGGGTTTAGTCGACACGTACGTAAAAATTTAAGCTGGTGATCCAAAGCAACTCGATACGTTCTCGCACTGTAAAGGCCCTAATAGTCTCTGGACAATTAGCTTTATATAATTTGGAACATTGTGTTCAATTTTTCTTTGATAAATCACACTCTATTTCATCCAAATAGAATTCATGTAATCACGGAGGAATTTTAATTTTTTATATCTATATATATTACCCCTTCGACCTTGACCACCACATTATATATTTATCTTAAAAGGGAAATTCAACAACTTACAAACTGTACATTATTTATCTCTCAACATGTATTACTGTTCACAGCTTTATCCCTGAATTAGGGTGGTTTCCACAGTTCGATCAGTAAAAAAAAATAGGTCCCGTATGTATCAATTTTTCTCCCCCTCTTCTATCTTCCTCATAAGCATCATAACTGTGATAGTTGAGGAATGGGGAGGGGATGTTAATATGGATTTATTCCATTTTTCTTGAATTGTTATACACAATTTTTAAAAATTCCAAATTAGCTATCTTTAAGCCATGGCCACATCCCCAACACTACTCTAAAGAGTCTAAACCCAAATCAAATTAATGTGTGCTTAATTCCATATTTAATAGTACCTGAATTATTTTTTAAGCATACGGTATGTTCTTAATTAAGTTTTAAGCTAGAATGATTATAGATTATTTCTTAAAAGTAAAAGTGCCTCTAGTTAAATTGGAAGGAAGAACTCACCTTCAGTTCCGGGAGCTCAATCACACATGCACACTCCACCACTTCTGCACCAGCACGCTCTGCATGCATGCACATTCAAATGTCATATATGATCAGAAACAGAAAATGCTCCTATATAGTACACATTGTACTGCGTTAACATGTTGTATATAATATTGAGCTCCCCCAAACAGGGTGATAGTCACATTTGAGTCACTATTGCACCATATAATTCCTCCATTCCAGAATAAATATCATTTTTTCCTTCCTTTTATCCCAAAATAAATCCATTTTAAGCAATTATTGCATCACAATTTGTAAAAGTATGTGATATATGCATTTCCAGTAGATAAAAAGAGAATTAATTGTAATGGAATTTGATAAACTGAGGATATTTTAGATTTTTTGGTTTTGTATTGGTATGTGTGGGATGGATGAAAAATTATTTTATTTTGGAACGGACGGGTATACTATAATACATGTAATAGTAATACACACATATATATCTCCTGAGAATTCAACAATTTTGTGATATTAGCACTAATTCTTCGATCTGAATTTAAACATATATCATGAGTGTTATCTTATTAAGCCCGGCTAGCTGGTGAACGATCGATCGATTTCCAATCTGGCATATGCATCCATATATATGCTCATTAATTTAATTACAGATATGATATAATTAATACTCCATTCAATTCGTGCAAAAATATATAAACCTAGTATTAAATAAGATACATCATAGTATTACGAATCCCAATACTAAAGTGTATCTCATACTATGTTTTTATATTTTGGGATAAAACGAGTACGTACCAAGCAAGACGATGGCGGCACAGAGCGTGCCGCCGGTGGCGACGAGGTCGTCGACGACGAGTGCTCGCTCGCCGGGCTGTACCGCGCCGACGTGCATTTCCAAGCAGTCGGCGCCATACTCCAGCTCGTACTCCTTTGACATCACCTCACCTGCGCACATGTATATATATACGCAATTTATCAAATTCCCATTCACATACAAAATTCTATGCAAGTTTCATTTCAGTCTCTTGGTCAGGTTTATTTCACTACTAGAATTCAATAGCTTCCCTAGAGTTTAAATTAGAACTCAAGGGATAATAAGAATCCCTAGGGTGACTATGGAGAACTCAAGGGAAGATTTATGTCCCCTAGAGTTACAATATGCAACCTAGGGAACTTATGCCACATCAGCTCTATTATGAAATTATTGGCACCACAGTGGCAACCAAAGTGAGTCCCACAGAAAATTTTGGAGGCAAAGCTCCCAGCAGCGAAATTTTTTGCGGGAAGGCAATATACTGTAGTAGACTAAAATATATTCTCCCCCCCCCCCGCTCCAACTCCCCTAAACAACATCAGAAGGGTGTTTCTCCTCCGGTCCTCCCCAACTTTGCTGCTTCTCCAATCTCCCCCAAATCCCTCTCCAAATCCCTATCTTTGTTCTGGATGCTATCCAAATCGGAGCTCCCTGCTGATTAGAAGACCTCAGATAGAGCATTATGGAGCTCTATTGCTGTAGATCGATGTTGGAAGTGCATCGTCCTCTCTAACCCATTGCCTTCCCTCGAATATTGTTAGTACCTTGCATATCAGTACCTTGCATATTGTTAGTTTTGTTGTTTGCCCTATATATACAAGCCTTATCAAACAAATTGGTTGTTCACTAAATTTGTTTAATAAAATTGTAACAATTGTTTTTTTATAGGATGACTCCCAAGTATCAGGTGTTAGAGAGGAAACTGGAGATGACAGGGTAAATGTTATAGCTGAAGGAATGTTTGGTGGCTACTTGACCAATTCATCTGCTAATGGTGCCACCACCTTTCTCCCAGCTTTAGATGAACTTGATCCATTTTAATTTCAACTGGCTGTGGTCATAGGGCCAACTTTTGGGAAAACTTGGTAGTTATAGCGCCTAACTTTTGGGTAAAGCTGATTCTTACCGAAACATGTGTAATGAAGTGGAATTATGCCATTTTGAGGGCAAGATGATTATAATGCATCTTTTGAATGCTATATATGGTGCTGGTGGATTTAAACAATATTTTGTTCCTGTGTTTAATCATATTATGTGTGGTGGTGGTCTTTGTGCAATATTACTTACCTTCAGTGCAATTTATTTTACATAAATCCTAATGAATTGATTAACATCATAAATTGTAATAATTATATTAAAAAATGCTCAACATAATAAGTAATTCCTAGGGAATGCATGTTTTTGTTCCCTGGGGTTTCAAAAGGAATCTAACAACTCTAGGGACAGTAACTTTACACGTCACTTGACACCCACCAGCTGGGCATTTTTCCCTAGGTCAAACAACCCTAGGGAGCATTCCTTTCCCTAGGTTTCTCTTGCAAAAACCCTAGGGAGCTCTTTGTTTCCCGTAGACCGTTTCCCTAGAGGGCATTCCCTAGGGTTCACTCTAGGGAAACCTCTTCCCTAGAGTTTTTCACCATTCCCTTGGGTTTTTGGCTCTAGGGATGCCATTGAATTCTAGTAGTGTTTGTAGTTTATTTGTGCCACGCTTTCATAGTATGATTTTCCAAGAACTTTTCACATTATGTTAGCATTGTTTATAGAACTTGTTTTAAGCTATTTGTTATATATATTTATGACATATAATATTTAAGTGACTCTAAAAAAGGCCATTAGTTTGTTTAGTGAAAAACTTTCAAAATATAATGTATAGTATAATTGTACTTTAACTATATTATAAATTTTATGTAACTTGTATATAAGTATTAAAAATTACACGTAACTTCTCATACATAAGTTATATATAAGCTACAATATACGTAGTTTTAATATAATTACAATTATAATATAGTTATATTATAGTTACACACAAATTGTACTGTATTTTTTTACTAAAAGTCTTATGACAATTTTTAGCAATCTCTATATTTAACTATTTCCTATAAACGAATCAACCATCTATCAGCCTTTCTTTCCATTTCTTCTCTAAAAGTCCATCCCACAGCTGATGGATGCATGGCTAGAGGCATGTTTGGTTGAGGATTAATATTGTTACACATTTTTTACTAAGATGACTAAGCTTAGTCTTGTCACACTTTTGTGACAAACAAAATAACAAACTAAACTCAGGCAAAGTTAGGCAAGAAAATAAAGTGTATGACATGTGGACAAAGTGGTTAAGGGTTTAGGTAAAGTAGATTTATAGTATGAACTAAACAGTACCTAGTAAAATTGTGTCTTACCTAAGATAAAATATGGCAAATTTAGTTGTCAACTAAACAAACCCTGGATCTTTCGATTCTCTCATGGTTATACATTTATATAGTCTTTGATGCGCATTTCATATTATGGATAATCTTTCCAATAAGATATAAACAAAAATAGTAAAAATACAGACAAAAGTGACTTAATTTTATGAGGAATATACTAAAATCATGTATTAAATCTTAGTATTTGTTACATGTGAATTGCCTGTACGTACTTTCTAGGAAGTCGCCTGTTAAGAACAGACAGATCATAGTTTTTACTTAGAGAGTTAAGCAGCCATACAATTTTCTGTACCTGGAAGTTTGTTAGGTTTTCTTAGTGGGATAAATTTTGCACCAATAGCGAGCGCTATGGGAGGACCGAAAATAAACCCTCTAGCTTCGACCCCTGCACCAGAAAGAAAAAGTGAAATTAAAAAATCTACTGGAATTTACTACTCCAACCAAAGAAAATCAAACTTAATAAACATGCATGAGCTCAAAATGGCCTGCCAGGCTACTTGTACATATAAATATCATGGCAGCTCGATATACCAGCGAACATATATAATGGCATGGATGGTTATATACAAGTAGACAAGGCATGCACCTAATTAGACCAATTAACATCAGAACTGAAATACTACATCCAATTTTACTTATACGACATTGTTAACTCTTAAACACCATGTTTGATCATTTGTCTTATTTAAAATTTACAAATTTAGTAAAAGAATTGATACAGATATGCAAATATAAGTAATGTTTAAAGTACTTTTAAAGATGAAATAAGTCATAATAAAATAAATGATGCTTGCGTACTTTTTTAATAAAATAAATGATCAAATGTGATATAAAAATAAACAATGCCATATATTTCAAACAGAGAGAGTAGTATTTTTCATATGTGAATATATATATCATACATGATCACAGATAAAAGGACAAGATTGTGTGTACACAAAGAAAAAAAAACCAAACAAATAATAGATCGAGGAGTTGGCCCACACCGACAGAAATCGTACTCAACTACATACGTGCAGCCATGGAACAGTACGATATATGTGCACTGGATCTTGTGATAGCTCTCACTCATTGACTAGCTTGATACATACTATCATCATGAAAGGGAGAGAAAGATCTAGGAAAGCATGGACACCAGCTAGTAGCTTATATATAAATGGCTATTGCTGGCCCGGAGAGACAGATCTTGTGGTGATCGATCATTTGCATCATGCCATGCATGTGAACGTCAAAGATTTAATGCCCACTGGTAATTAACATCGATCGGAACCATCGTTTTGCTTATTCGCGGAATAAGAGAAACGATATAGTTGTAAACGAAAAATAATTTGTGAATAAAACTTTTATATACGTGTTCTTAGCGATCTAAAAGCAAAGGCTGATAAATAAAGTTCGATGAAAAAAACCTCAAAATCCGCTCCAAATATAAGGTTGAAAATTTAAATTTTGGTTGATAAGCATAAGTATAAGCGAAAAGATGAGGCCCGATATATATAACTATTTAATTGGAAGTACACATTATATATGCCACCTCAGTTTCTCAAAGTTTAAACTTTGAAAACGCTTCTTCTTTTTTTAGCAATAATTAAATTTATAAATTCTTCAAAAATATGTTACTATATATATATATATATATATATATATATATATATATATATATATATATATATATATATATAGAGCGTGCAACACATGCCACTAGTAAATAGAGATGATGTTCACCCAATGCAAGTTTACTCTAATATGATTCATTAGACAATATTGTGGAATCATGTTGCTCATACAAACACCGAGAAATAGAAGTAATTAAGATATATTTGATGACCTCGAAAATATAATTCATGGTGAATTAGTTAAGTTAGGAGGAACTTGGGGGCAAGGATCTAACTCTAAATCCGAGTCATGACATGGAATCAAAGTGAAGGTCAGGATTAATTGTATCAACCCTATATTTATAGCATTAATTAAAAACTCATGCATTTTATATTGGTATAGATTATTGAAGTATGTATTGTTATAAATATAACACAACATGAGATGGTAATAATCAACCATAAAAATTATTCGAGAATAGACAGTATAGTTAATAAGCCACACATGTATTTTGGCATAAATAAAGTGCCTGGGATGATATTGGCCCGAGAAATAAACCGAGGGTTCCTTTGAGATGCAAGATATATAGAAACACCATACTAGAAATAGGAAAATCACAGGAGCAGTGTTGGAATTGCACAAAGTAGTTGTTTGATACTCTCTCTGTCCCTAAATATAAGATATTTTGGTTGGATATGACGTATCCTAGTACTATAAATCTAGACAAATATGACCAGATCTGTAGTACTAGAATTCATCCCATCCATCCAAATTTTCAGAATATTTTGGGACGGAGGGAGAACCTGATAAGAAAATTACAATAAATTTAAAAGTATGTATCTAGATTTATTAGGGAGAAAGAAAATTAAGAAGGTGCCTATGAATTTTAATCAAAGGTATTTGTGAACATTATGTTAGACCTTAATTATGCTAAAATTTCTCCAAATCATGGAGGAATTTTATATCCTATGAAATTACTTTGAAGCAATGCTACATCTGAAAACTTTAATTTCATAGGAATGTTTTCCAATGGATTGAATTCCTCCTCTTTAGATTGCCACCTATCACCCTGTGAAAATCACATGTGGAGACATATGAGTCAATAAATGATGTGTGAGGAAAACCATAAAATCTCCAATCTAAAGAGTGGTAAGACATCAAATCCCCATTTTTTTTTCTAAATTAAATTGTGGTCACATTTCAATAGCCATCAGCTATCCTCTCCCCATCTCAAAATTTGGTAGCATCACAATTACCCGTGATACGCCATAGTGCAGTGACGTAGGCTATGTTAGTGACAACCAAGAGAATATATTAGTATGACCTAGTGAGCTGACATGAGAGATCGAATATGTGTATGGCATGGTGGGCGCCTTAGAATAAAGATGTCTATTTCCACACTATATAGGTCAATTGAGGCGTACATAGAGAAAGGAAAGTACACCTCAATTAACTTATGCGCATGTGCATATGTTGTCATGGGTGAAGTGATAAGGAAAGAGAGCATACCCAAAAGTTTTGACATACACAATTGATCATATACACGGATGCACACAAAAGGGATGGTGGACTAAAGCAACATATGTGCACGGCCTACCTACCTAAATGGTTTCTATTATCGACCTAAACTTCAACAATTGACGCAAAGTATTTTTTTTAACTGACTATTAGTTTTTTTTTCTTTGTGAGTACTGACTATTGAAGTTTGTAAAGAACAAGATAGGTAGGGGTATGACAGTGCCAGGTGTATAAAGTGAACTCCTACAGGCTATGGGTAATAGTGGAATGAAATGACCACTCCTAAATGAATTGACATATGTGTATTAGTTGTTGGAGGTGTGTATTATAGAGTTATGTTCCATGGTTTAGTTTTGTTGATGTGCATATCTAATTACCTTTTGGTTCTAGTTGAAGCTTTTTTATGTGGTGGAGGATCCAATCCAATGAACATGACAGGACCATGAATATTTGATAAGTCACCTAATCAAATCCAATTTATGTATATTTTTCATAGTTAGTGCCTCAAACTTCCATATATGCCTATATACCAATCTATACTGGTAGCTGACTCAAATGTCCAATTGTCATGCACATATATATGATCTCAAAATATTTGTCCAACAGGCACAAACAAGTGGAGGGAAAGGCAAATATTTTTGTCATATCATCTGGAAGCCTTCGAACTTTACAAAAGGGTCAGACAGAGAGGCCAAACCTCCTGTTTTGTAGTCAATTACTACTGCTGCATTATTCTTCATTTCTCTGTACATTTGACTGTGACACTCCTCATACGAATAATCTCTCTCGCTCTGATCTTACACACACTCTCTCTCTCTCTCTCTAATTTATTTGTCATTTTAGAATTATTTTCGTTAATCTTATAAATTAAATTGACTTAGCATTTTTTTTGGAATCGACAAATGAAAATCATGTCATTAGATTTTTCCATGAAATTACTTCGATACTACTGAACTTTACCGATTTTCTACAGTAATAAGTAGGTAATTAACGGTTAGGAGTATGTATTATTGGAGGCCGGGTCAGTATAAAAAACGACAAGTAAAAGATATTGTACTGTACAACTTGGCTAGATTTTCAATCGACCCATCGTGTGCCTGTCAAAGTCACGCTTTTAATTAACTATATTTGGATCTTCATAAATAATAACTCTGACTTAGTATTAAAAAAATAAATTATATATTTCAATGGATTTGATAAGATCTGATATTTTTTTGAGATAAAGATCAGATTAGTTACTACTCCCTCCGTCCCTTAATATAAGAGATTTTGACATTTTACTTGTACTGTTTGAACATTCGTCTTATTAAAAAAATTAAAACTATTATTTATTTTATTTGTGACTTACTTTATTACTCAAAGTACTTTAAACATAACTTTTCGTTTTTATATTTGCACAATTTTTTTTAATAAGACGAGTGATCAAAACAGTGCAAGCAAAATATCAAAATCCCTTATATTAATTAAGGGACGGATGGAGTACTTGAATAAACAAAGCGCACAAGTTCAAATAAATCTTGATTTTTTCAATTTTTTGAGATAAAAAACAAAACAATTATATGTTACCAGCAACAACGGAGATGCCTTTGCCAGTGTACCGTTCAACGAACAAGTCGATGGTGTCCTTGAACACAGGGGGATTTAGAAGTAGGGTCGTGATATCTTGGAACATTATTCCTGCACATTTCATCAAGAAAAACAAATATTATGAAAGAACCTGAAAAAAAAAGGTATTGCATAGACCTTTTCTTCTGCAGGGATGTGTCATTGATTTAATTCGCAGATCTAGTCAATCGATTTTTTTTCTAGAAAAAAATAATTGCCACAAAACTCTTCCAAAGTATTTGTGGGAATTCTATAAATTAAATTTGGGCGGGCAAGGGAAGATGAGATGTGTGTTGAGAAAAATGCAGAGAGAGAGCGCGCGCGCACGCGTGCTCAAATTAAACTGATACCAACCAATATATATATATATATATATATATATATATATATAGAGTGGGAAAAGACTTCTAAAGGGAAAATCATAATGTCTCGAATACACAACATTTTGCTCACACCACCTTCATCATCACGATGGATGCGCTTATCGAAATATCCACATAATTAGCCTTTTGAATAGAGTGAGAGTTTCACCTCAATAGGAAGATTAAATATGTCTTCATGACATAATATAGCAGGAAAAATAATTTTAAAAATAAAGGAAGATCAGTTCGCAGCAACAATATTTTGTGGTAAATGTGCATGCTCAAACCATGCATGTGCATGCCTATAAATTGTAGTAATGTGAGAAATTTGGTTATAGGTTACAAGCTGCAAAAAGCTCATGATAAAGTCACACAAGAAACAAGCTATATTCATGAAAGTTTTTGGGTTCAGAACCAATAAACAAAAAAAGGAAGGAAAGAACCAACGAGGCAAGGATCAATAGTACCAGTGGGGACCTTTGCAAGGAAACACAGATTTTGGCACTTGAAATTAAAGGCAACCCCCAAGGTCAATATTCTTTACAGAATTGCAGCCCCTATTGCACATGTATATATGAGATTATGAGCACATATATGCTGAAAAAAAGGATCAGAAAGAAGAAGCCAACCAGTTGATACATAATACTTCTGAAAAATATTTATACTCAAAAGAAATAACATCGTTCGGTTTCAAAACAAGAAGACAGAGCTAGAAAACCACATGAATTAACTAGCGAGACATGCAAGAACTAAGCTCGAAATCACAGTAAAGCAAGAGAGGATGCAAGAATAATTAAGCTAAAAAACAACAAGCAAGAGAGGAGAGAGAACCTGGCTTAGGGAAGTTGGGCACAACTCTAATGGTGGATGCTATGGCCTGTGTCCTGGGGTCTTGCATCTCCTTCTTCTCCTCAGACCCTGCCATTGCTCCTCCCCTCTCTTCTTTTCTTCCCTCTCTCTACAAATATAATTGGGAGAGAGAGAGAGAGAGATGCAAGTGGAGGCCTGTGAGAGGGGTGTGTGTATAAATAGAGGAGGAAGCTAGCCAGCAGCCTCCTTGCAGTTTCAGATATATGGATGAATGAATTATAGATGATGTAGCTACTTGCAATTGTATTTTGGTTCTGTACAACAGTGCATGTTTGGGCTCTCTCACTCCAATTCCAATATATACCTGGAAGATCATATCATAGCTAGGACCTGATCTAGAGATGTTGCTACATAGATTAATATTATATACTTATAGCACACATAACTATACAAAATAGCACATATGCATGCATGATGAAGGTGTGTTAGAGCCTCTAGGGATGTAAACGGCCGTCCCGTCGACCCGTCTGATCAGTTAATTAATCAGATCAACTCTCACTTAATTGGTTCTTCAGGTTGTATGCCTGTCACTGAATATTTTTTTTGCATTGATCCAGGAAAAGACAAAATTGGTTGATCAATGGCTCAGCAGCTAGCCTGCAGATCCATTTTGTGTTATCACTCTCTGAAGAGTCAGTATATCAATATGTGTGCAAGGAACAAAATCCTCGATTGATTGCAGGCATGCAACTCCAGTAATGAGACTGACTGTTATAATATATTCAAAATTCAGTTTTGCGATGCGTAAAAGCAACAATTTCCATTCGAAGGATTTTTTTGACCTAGGTTTTTCTTTGGAATTTGCTACAATCTTTTCATTCATAGATCACTTGAGATTCTTTGGGTAACCATGACATTTAATTCAAACTAGTAAGATTCTGTGCTTTCCAATGGGTCATCTCATATAATTAGGGATTGGCTGGGTGGATGGATTGAGAATAAAACATAGACTAACCTATATAATTAGGGATAGGCTAGGTGGGTGGATTGAGGGAAAAGTATTGAATTCTATATTGATTACGTACACATAAAGGGACGCACAACCTCTGGTGCATGGTGAGAAGGGAACGGAAGGCAGACGATTACACTTTTAAAGTAGTAGAGATATGTTCGCTTACCATATTTTGTTTAACATTTTAGCTAAGAGTATGAATAGCGAGCAAATAAATATCTCAAGTGTGGAGTATTCCACAAAACCTTATTGTAAAGAGAAAATCAAGACTATGTTATTAACAAACAAGTATGATAGAAAGGTGAACACAATAATAGAGTCCATGCTAGGTACAATAATATGCAAGTCTAGGGTAAGGCCACATTTGTAATGCATGAAAATTCCCTACTAGGATTAATGTTGTAAAAACCAGTGTTCGGTATCCAACCACGGAAAATCACTGGATAAGACCCAAACTTGGTGACGACAAAGAGAGATTCATGATATATATTTCTTAGCGAGGTTCAGCTGAACTTATATCTGTTTAAATCTGTACTGAATTTATACGTATATTCTACACAAGTTATAACAATTAATCGTTCCTGTCATCGTGTTCCGAACGAGGTCTAATTAAATCTCAATGGTACTTGGCTTGATAAGAAAGTGAAAATGTGGGTACCATTAACCCAATAACACAAGTGCTAATCATAGTCTGGGAGATGTTGGAGCTTTACCTAACTATAAACTCTAGCAGACGGCACAACGAAAAGCCGAGATTTTTCAGTGCCAATTTGGATTTTGGAGGGCCGGGCCACATAAAACGAAATCTCAAAAGCTATATATACATAGTTCGAAGAAAACGAAACCGAAAAGTTTGACGACTCACGAAGAATCCCAAGGAGGATTTGCCAAATCTCCCAACTTGCAATAAAACCAACGTCTTAATTTACTTGTCTCTGGTTCTTCTGATCTGCCTATAGCAATAGCACCATTCTTTTCTATCATGTGCACACGTATATGCATACTAACCCATGCAAATTAATAGCTTATTTTACATGCAACCCAAGGTTTATTTAACTGCTAATCTTGTTGATTAGTCAGTGGGGTCCTGTGCCTTTTTGTACTGGAGAAGAGAGGTTGAGATAGAGCAGCACATATGATCCATGCCGTGCATCTTCCGGGCACGGATTCCGATGCGTGGTCCCAGCCGTGGATCGAATTTGTTGAAAAATATACCCTACCCTATGTTGTGGAGTACAGATTAATTAATTAGTTAACAGGGGGTGCTTTAGAAAACATTGTTAATTATCATGGTACTATGGTAGCTAGAGGGATTAGATGTGTAGATCCACTGGTGTTAACAATCATTGATCCAAATAATTTGGAGGGTACTGAGCTAGACATTTGCCTAACCACAAACTCCCCTACAAATTAGAGCCATTGGATTTGCTTTCAATTTGTTGGGCTCTACTGCGAGAGAGAAACAAACATGCATCATATATCTCTTCTAAAATCCTATGAAATTTCTTTTATGTAGCAATCCTCAGAAAGTGCAACACTCATACTCCCTCTGTTTTCTGTTATAAGATGTTTATTTGACCAAGTTTATAGAAAAAAATAGTAATATTTTGACCAAAGATAAATTTATTATAAAAATATATTTAATTATTAATTTAATAAAACTAATTTGGTAAACTTAGTCAAACTTGAAATGGTTTGACTTTCACTAAAGTCAAAACATCTTATAACCTGAAACGGAAGGAGTATGTTTTAAAGATACAATATACACAATAATATATTCTAAGATGCAACAAATCCTAATGTAAGCATGCAGTATCCACCTTCTCCAACAAAAAGTCCTATTACAAGTCCACTTGTTTTTCTATTTCCCCCTTAATTTAGGCCCCCTCAGCTAGCTCTTAAATTTTGAGATAAGAACATGAATACATATACTCCCATATGTCCCATAAAAAAATCAATTCTTGGATATGAATCTGAAGTACATAACCTATATCCAGATTCATCTATAGAAGCTAATTTATTTTGGGATATGGATGGAGTATACAAGAGGCAAGTAGTATATGTGAATGGCACATGAAGACAATATATACGAACAAGCTAGCCGTGTGCATGCATCATTGCTAGCAAGATGGAACCATCCATTTCTGTGGGGTCCCGGGGTTTGAAGATTTGGGCTATCTGCCTGTGAATATTGGGGAGAACAGAATGAGGCAAAACTAAAGCTCCTTTTTTTTTATGGATTTAAGCCAGTGGAGGCAAACAGGAGACACCACCACCACTCTTTTTTTTTTTTTTTTGCGATCAGTGGAAGTTAGTATTATGTATAGTTTCTCTAAAAATATATATGTTTGAGATTGTGTGGTAGAGCGTTCGACGATGTCTATGACCATCCGTGTTTATTCTGCTAGTGCTATATATAGGATGTACATTATGCATGAGAAAGAAAAGCCAAATGAACGGTATACCTTATCTCTTATATCAATTATTTCTCTCGTAATATTTTTTGTTACGTACATTATGATCGTCTCCTTGGATATGAAAAGGACCAGTGTAACCGGCTCAAAAACAAATTAAAGACGAAAGAGTCTATGTAGGAATACATAATGCATGGGTAAGGGAAACTTTTTTCCCCCGCTATATCATCTCTAGTTAATACGGAGTCGTGTAGACTGCTTGAGAGACAATCCTTTGTAACTCTTTCAAGTCATAAAAGTATGTTATTTTTCAGAGGCAAGTATAGGAATATGCAATAATGCATGGGCTAAGGGAAACTTTTTTTTTTTCTCTTGTATCATCTCTAGGGAACCGGATCCTCTGATGTAAGGAAACCAACGTCAGAGGGCAGTAGTTTCTTCATCCACCATCCCTAAAGCATCCAACGCCTCTCTTGCTTTTGCTTCATTGTGGGGTGCCGCAACCTCTGTTCTCTCGCGCGCGAAGGTGATCGATTCATTGAGACGGCTATCAAGGAAGCGGTCACTGTCGCCGAGTCAAATTTTCGTCCTTCACATCCAAACCGGATTAACGCAGCCTACGAGGACGACAACAGCCCGATCTTGTACGATTTGCCATTGTTAAGTCAAGTGTACTCCCTCCGTCCTATAATATAAGGGATTTTAAGTTTTTACTTGCAACGTTTGACCACTCGTCTTATTCAAAATTTTTTAAAATTATTATTTATTTTATTTGTGACTTACTTTATTATCTATAGTATTTTAAGCACAACTTTTTGATTTTTATATTTACAAAAAAAATTTAAATAAAACGAGTGGTCAAAATTTACAAACAAAAACTCAAAATCCCTTATTATGGGACGGAGGAAGTATATATTTGTGTGCAGGTCTCCGTGTGGCGATCAAGTGCAAGAACAGCGCTGACGGCGAGTACGAGATGAAGCGGCCGGGAAGCTCGACGGCGCCGGCGCATTCAGCGTGCCGCTCGCCGCCGACCTCCGCGGCGCCGACAGCGTGGCTCAGCTCCACAGCGCGGCGAAACATAACGCGGCATGCCCCGGTCAGGAGCCGTCGAGGATCATGCAGCTGTCGGAGAGAACCTTCGTTGCCGTCGCCGGCAAGACCCACTGCACGTCGCCGGTGTGCGCGTCGGCGACCATCTGCAAGCCCATCTGCCAGCCGCGTCGTCGACCAAGCCGGCGCCCAAGCCGCACCCTGGCCAGCCGCCGCACCCAACGCCGATGCTGACGCCGTCGTACGGAACGCCGAGCCCGTACCACTCGCCGGCGAGGAACTAATTAATTAATGCCGTCGAGCTCACACATTATTATGATTTTTTTTCTGCTCTGCACTAGCTTAATGCCATTTATGATTTATTGTTGTCAAGGTTGGAGTAGCGCAGATAGCTTATGTATTCGTTGATCTTGAGTTTCTTGGGTCGATCGAATAAAGTTCCAGGTTGATTTGTGAGGTTTGAGTCAATACAGGTTGATTTGTCTCAGGATTCGTTTGCTTGGCGCTTCCTCGCTCGCCGCCTCGATGAATCAATCCCCTTCACGCGCCAGAGAACAGAGATTGTGGCACCCTACAATGAAGCAAAAGCAAGAGAGGCGTTGGATGCTCCAGGGACGGTGGATGAAGGATGAAGAAACTACTGCCTTCTGACGTTGGTTTCCTAACATCAGAGGATCCGGTTCCCATCTCTAGCTAGTTAACATGGAGTTCGTGTAGACTGCTCTCGAGACAATCCTTCATAACTCTTTCAAGTCAAAAAAAAAATATATCGTTCTAGATGTAAGTACATGATCAAGCTAACAATGAAAAGATTAGTTTTTTCAAAACTTCAATTCCAATTATAATATAGTGAAATTCTGTTAAAGACAGAGAAAGCTATATATTGTACTCCCTACTTCTGATCTCAATGTTAATATAG